GGGGGGCGTTTCCGGCGGGGGCGGCGGAACGTTGGGGCGGGGGCACAGCCGGCTCCCAATCGCGCACAATGAGACAGTGCTGAGCGCCGGAAGTGGGGCCGAAGGAAAACACGGAGAGGGAGCCGGGCCCGGACAGGAAGAGGCGGGGGACCTCGGAGGAGGCGGTGAGTGGTCCCGAGCGCTTTCTCCCCGCGGCCCTGCCAGACTTGCCCTGGGGCTGTGTCTACGGTGGGTTCTCCGGGCTCCAGAGTAGAGGACGGGCCTGGCCCCGGAGGTACGTTGAGCCCATCCTTCGCTGGCCTCGTCGCCCCAGTTTCGGTGACCGGGGAGCCCCAGGCCAGCGGGGACTGAGCTCTCAGGTTTGAGTTGGCGGCTTCACTTTGTGTCAGACTGCGGGGCGAAAAAGGGATTTGGGTCGAGGCACTCGGCCCTGGCCCCTTGGCTGGCCGGGGGGACCCCGGAACCCCATCGATGAAGCAGGTCACTTCCTGCTTCCTGGTCCCCACGGTGGCTTCGTGGCCTGGGGTGCGGGAACGCCTCCTCTTTCTCCGCCTCGGGCCGCGAGCGGTGGAAACTGAGGCAGGTTACGGGTGGGGAGATGTGTCGGGGATTGAAGAGTGTCACTGCGTAGAGAACTGCTGTTCACGACAAAACCCAAACTTATTTGGGGTTGGAGAATGAGAAAGGGAGAGGTTAGCTGGGCTTGTCGCTTGGTCGGAAACCTAGCCCCTTTGATGAGAGCGGTACCTTGGTCAGGACCCCAGCCCCTGCCGAGCACGAACGATTGAAGCCGGTCTTTTCTGAACCGTGGTAGTGAAGGGACAGAAAAGTAGAGTTGAGAGATGTTACCTTATTCACATGAAGTTTCGGTCACTTTATATAACATTTGAAAGTAATTGCTGACTTCTTTTTTTCAAGGACCATTTCGGAGGGTGTTTTTATTATTATTTTTTTAAACAGTATTGACTTGGGATAAGGTTTTCTTTGAACAGGTTTCTTTTCTTTCGTTATGTAGATAAAAGCTGACCAATTTGGTATAACATTTTACTATGTTACAACTCTCGAGACTAACAGAGTTTCTCTTATTTACAAAATGTCTCCATATTACATAGTCTATAATTTTCATTAAAAAAATTATAGCACTAAGCCTACTAACTTCTAGGGTAATGTACTGGTTATTAGGAATGTGATCAAAATTTTATTTTAAAAATAGGAAAACGTTTCTTAAAACTTTTGGGGGCATCTGTGCAATAAGCATGGTATTTTGTGTATTTGTTTTGATATCTTGTTATAGTTTGATGTTTCCTGCAAAATGCCTTCTTTCAGGTGCAAAGTAAGAAAATCAAACTCAAAGACCATGGGAGATGCAGCAAAACCTTATTTTGTGAAGCGTCCTAAAGACCGAGGGACTGTCGATGATGATGATTTCAGAAGGGGTCACCCCCAACAGGATTATTTAATAATGGATGATTATGTTAGAGGCCATGGCAATAAAATGGAAAAGGGCCTTCCAAAAAAGAAGATAACACCTGGGAACTATGGGAATACCCCCAGAAAAGGACCCTATGCTGTTTCCAGCAATCCATACGCATTTAAAAACCCAATTTACAGTCAACCAGCTTGGATAAATGACAACCACAAGGATCAGAGTAAGAGATGGCTCTCTGATGAACTTACTGGTAATTCAGACAACTGGAGAGAATTCAAACTTGGACCTAGAATTCCTGTAATCCGACCAAGAAAAGACTCCTTTCAAGAAAGTGAAGATGGGTACAGGTGGCAAGACGGAAGAGGCTGCAGAACTGTAAGACGGCTATTCCATAAGGACCCACTGAGTCTAGAAACCATGTCAGAAGTGGAAGCAGGAAGTCCTGGTAATGTGTTCCAACTTGTCAAGTTACAGTACCTAAGTCAGCAATGTCTTACATGTCTAAAGGAACTTATTTTCAGCAATGCAATTCTGATTTTGCATAGTTTCTGCTTTAAGAAGTTACTTATTTAATGTGATTATTTTAAGGATTGTAATTGTAAATCTTTGGACAATGCCAATGCATTTCCTACGTTGGCCTCTTTAAAAGTTTACTTTGGCACAAGGCTCATTTTATTATAGTAAACATATTTCTGTTGATGCTTTTTACAGAAGAGGGTAAGCATATCCCTTTAGAGACTATATCATAATTTCTGAGTGCTATGTATGATGTATGTAGTTTCAAAGTATGTTTATAATGATTATTTTTAATTTTTAATTTTTTTTTTTTTTTTTTTTTTTGCTAGAGGGTGTATGCTCTGGCCAGACAGAGACAGAGAGAGTGAGAAATCATCCTTCTTGGGATGGTCTCACACCACAATCCCTTCTTTTAGCTGTCCATCCTTTTGGAATTTTGGGCATGCATGCACATGCACTCAGTGTGTTTTTGAAGCTGCCAAGTCCAGGACTTGAACTGTGGAGCTGGCCATGTAGGATCTAGCTGCCTTAAGCACCATGCCACTGGCTGGCCCTATGATTATAATTTTGTATTTGAATGATGAATGTGTTTATAATATAAATGACAGAATATAAAACTAAACAACTTATTTGTTGTAAAAACACAAAAACTGACTATTTCCCACCACAAAAGGGATAGACATCTTTTGGGTAGCATATCAGTCTCCAAAGGGACATAACCCAAGACTTGTGGTTTTCAGAAAGGAGTGTGGTAGACAGGTTGAGAAACACGGATTTGAAGAGTCAGAGATACAGATAGAAGCTTTGCTGTTTAGTTTCATAAAACCCATTTCTACGTGCCCTCACATACTTGATAATTAGTCAAAGTGATGATACATTCTTCTAAAAGATAAAAAGTAGATTTTGTCGATGTAGTAAATGATTTCTATAAACAAGGTTATTTTTATCTGTTGGACAAGATCAACTGAAATAAAGTCATAAGCCAGATAGAATAATAAAACAATATTTATTGTAAAAATGAAAATTATACTTGGAAGAATGAGCATTTAGTTTTATTGGCTGAAAGCCATTTTTAGTGGCCATATAGAATAGGCTCCAAACTGGCCAACACTTCTAACATTTTTCTTAAATCTAAATGCAGTCAGGCAATGTAGGCTCTTTATAGGCCTGCAGAAGCCTTTCTCCTTCATGGTATCTCACATTGTCAGGCTATATATATATGTTACCTATAGTGAATTTGAATTGTGACCCATGCATATAGAATATTTAAAAGGCAAAAAGGTCTTTTTTTGTTTTTAGAAGGTGTCATTATAAAAATGAAAGTCTCAAGCATTTGCCAATATTAAATGACAGAAAAGGTGTTGTTTGATGTTTATGATAGGAAAATTAAGGTTAAATGCCAAGAGCAAGCAGCAGAAACAAAACAAGTGTTATAAACGAATTAAATAGTAGGGAGAGGGAAAATTTTAAGATTATAAATCCTTCAGCTACAAAGAACTTGAAGCAGAGATGTGCCTCTGTCATAATCTATCAAGGTGAAATCCCAATTTCACCAATAAGGAAACTGCTGCTCGGCAAGGTTAAATTAATCCAGACTTGTTTATGTGCAGTGGTAGATGAGGAAGTGGGACTGAATTCTGGGGCTTTGCTCATTGGCCATTAACTCAGTCCTGCTGGACCTGGAATCCCGACAGAGGGAAACAGAGCCTTCATTGATCATTTCTGAGCTTGTGATTTGTGTTTTTCTTTTCAAAAGTTTGTGTGTATTTATGTATTTCTATATTTCTACGTTCAGGTGAGATGTGGATATTTAATTTATAGTTGGTCTTTTAAAGAAAAAGTTGATCTTCAAAACCTTTTTAGAAGGAAAGACTTATGGATCAAAAATTTGCAAGTAGACATATTCAGAGATCATTTACAGTCCAAAAAACTGTCAACAATTGAAGAACTTGCTTTTGACAATTAAGGAAGTTGTTTTTAAATGTGTTTTAACAGGAAGGGTGCTTTCACTGTCTTTTTATAATATTTGAGGAAGTATAAAGCTCACGTTTTCTCTCTGCAAAATATAAGTGCATGCTTTTTCACAATTGCTAAGTGAGTAACTACTCAGCTTCTATCTCTTGAAAACCTTCATGAAGGAAATATTAAGCTCTGCTATAATGTTATTTACTGTAGAGAGAATTTTAGTTTAAACTTTGCACTATGTTCAAAACAGGACCTCATTTAAATGGATTGAAATTTCCTAAAATCAAAATTGTATCTTAAAAAGGATGGGTCTTATTAAACAGTATGAGAAGATGTAATGAATTATGTTAAAGGTTCTTTTTTTTTTTTTTTTTAATATACATTTCTGTTTCCAGTTCTACATCACTTGCCCCTACCTCGTCCCTGAAAAGTCTTAGATTGCCACTTAAACATATTGGGGCATTGCCATTAATGAACTTAACTGGAAAACATTCACTCAAATACACATGGCCTTTGTGAATCAGATAATGGGCTCTATACAAATAAATTATGAGAAACTTGGAGTGCTGAATGTAGAGAACTCACGTTACAATAAACCTGGGATGAGCCAGGTAGTATTATGCCAAGTAATTATGGGGATTTTTCAGCAGTACACAGTTTTGCCTTCCAAGAGTCCCTCTAGTAAGATTATACTTAGCAGCTTTTGTCATACAGGCCTGTGAAATTTAGTTCAGAAGGTTCACATCTTGCCTTGTCAGTTCTGATCCATTTTAGATGTTAACGGATATGCCTACAGAAGAGATTTTAGTCATTTCTTTCTAGTTAGATAGAAGGTTGAATTTCAGAACTCCATCCATATCTTAATCTGTATATCAAATTCCTTTGCTTTGATTTAACCCTGTGTCCTTGGCCAAATTACTTTTTCTGTGGGCCTGGCATTGTCCTTATCTGTAAAATGGGGATATTAGCATCCATGACAGGATTGCTGTAGGGATTAACTGAGGAAGTGCACATAAAGTGCTTGCTTTGCCTCTGCTGCATAACAAAACAGTAAGCGTAGCTGTTGTTACCATCATTGGACAGAACTCTGCAGCCACCCTCTTCTCTGCTTTGTGGTCTTGAGAGAGCCAGAAAAGACCTCGACAAAATGACAGCAAATGTATTTACATTGAGAAGATTTTGTGACTAAGGAAGATGAGGAATCAAAAAGGGAACTTGATTAATATACTGAATACTGTTTGGTATATGGACTTTTCTAATTTATTTACTTACCTAATTTTTTAATTGCCAGAGGGTACATGCACTTGCTATAAAGAGAGAGAGAGAACTACACCATAGAGTTTGGTTGCATTGTCATCCCTTTTCCACTTCTCCATCTGTTGAGAAACACACTGTGTGTTTTTCAAGCTGCTAGGGCCAGGATTCAGACCAGGGTTAGCCATGTAATATTTGGTTCCCTTAACCTAGCCCCATGTGGAATTTTCTAAAGGGTGTTGCACATAATAGTAAAAATCTCTACCGAGTGTTTGCCTGAGTAAGAAACTTCTGTCAAGAGCACTGAAGACTATTTAGAGAAAGGTAGGATTTATAATGGTAAGCAAATTAAAAACACAGTGGACACACATAATTTAAAAGAAGTACTTATCTCAAAAATTTGTTCAGACCAGGAGTATGGCCTTAAAAGATGGTGATATAATTGGGAATAGGGAAAGTATTAAAAGCATTAAGTAAGATAGCTCAATTTTCTATCCAATAACTACTTACCTTTTCAGTCCACTTTGATGACTTTTTTTAAAAATGTTTTTTTAAAGAATTTTTTGAATTATTCAATTTAATTCATTATTATTGTTGTTATTTAATTTGCTATAAAGCACATGTGCTCACCAGAGACAGAGAGACAGAGAGAGAGAGAGAAAGGGAAAGTGAAAGTGAGAAAGCAACCCACCAGGTTCAGGACTTGAACTGTAGCCCTCCATGTGGGAGTCTAGCGCCCTAACCACCACACCACTTGCTGGCCCCCAAAAATGTGCCTTTTTTTAAACATATCTTTATTTTTTTAAATTGTTGCAGACTGTTTTATAGAGGCTCTTTGTAGTACTTTCTTAGAGTTACCTCAGGTGGTGAGCACACAGTGCTTGCTTCTTGTCCTTCAGGACTCTTGGCAGTAGCTTCTTTTCTTTTTTTAATTAAAGCCTCTGTTTTTTATTTTTTGATACAAAGTTTTTTTTTCAATCAGTCAGGTGACAAAAGTTGTTGTACTAGTAATGAGTTCCCCTGAAATCTTGACAGGAATGGCCTCATACAGAGCATTTCAGTAGGTTTATATTTCCAAGGACTAATTTGTAGTAAACCATTGCAGTTGTCCACTTACCAGAATTTTAATTTGGGAAACAAATTTTATTTCAGTCACATCTGTTATTTAATTTTTAAAAACTTGATATAAGATATTTTATAGTTAAATTTCACTGTCATCTTTTGTTTCACAGATTGAAAAGTTACAAAGTTGAAAAAGGAACAGATTCGCTTATTTGTTTAAAAGATTGTAGAACTAACAACAGAATTTATAAACAAATGATTTGTATTTCAAACTTTTATTTCAACTACCATTTTTTAAAAAATATGTCCAGTGTACAGGCTAGTAGAAAAAGCTTAAATGAAAGTAAAGAAAATGGGAAATAGTTGTCAGTAAATAAAATTTTGGCTCCAGCTTCCTGATACTAATTGAGGCACTCTTAATATGCTTTATTGACGGCTAAATTTGCAACTCAATGATTTTTCCACTCTAGATAAGAATGTATTGTAGCTCAGGACCAGCAGTTAGCGTAATGGCTATGTCTCTGGACTCCCATGTAGTTGACCGCAGTTCAAGTCCTGGACCTGGTGGCTTAAACTCATACTGGGCACGTGTGCATACGTGCCCAAGATCCCGAGAGGAGAATGGAGGAGAAAGGATTGCAGTGTGGTCATCCCCCCTGGGGGGTGATTTCTCTCTTTGTCTCTCTGTCTCTCCCCCAAAAAAGAATGTATTGTAGCTGATTTGGGTTCTCCAGGGACACATCCTCCATTTTTGCCCTACTGAGATTGTTCACTTGTAAAAACTTAAAGCAAATGTGGATGGTTTTCGTTAGAATAATAGTTGTACTTATAGATATACTAAAATATATGAGATATATGCACATTGTGTATTATAATATGTTGAGTGTATTAGAATTGTAGGTGTGCTTGCCTTCAGGATATAGTTTTTTACTTTAGTTTGAGTGTGCTCTACAATAAACCAGGAAAAAAAAAATCAAATTAGGATCAAAGTAAAATTGTTTTTCAAGTTTTCTAACCAAAATGATTTAAAGAAACAAAATACCAGAAGATGTGTGCCCTCACCAGAGAGACAGACTAAGAGAGAAATCTTGGAAGAGAAAGAAAGCAGTCTCCAAATGGGGTGTGGTCACACTTGAGTCTCTCCTCCACTTGGGATTGGGTCACACATGCATTCATGACCAACATGTTTTTTTAAGCTTTTGGGGCTGAGATTTGAACAGTAGTCAGCCACATGGGATCTGGCCCCCTTAACCAGTAGGTTCTGGGGCTGGCCTCAAAGAGATGATTTGTGTGGATGGTTTTTTGTTTTTAATTGCCAAAGGGAGAGAAAGCACTCTCCAGTGGGGTGTAGTCCTGCTGCAACTCTTTCCTCCATTTCTCCATCCTGTCAGGATTTGGGGCACAGATGCATGCATGCCCAGAGTGTTTTTTAAGGCACCAGGGCTGGGATTACAACCACAGCTGTCATGTGGGATCTGTGTACAGCGCTTAACCATTTAGCTATGGGGCCTGCCTTCTGTGAGCTGTCGTATTCAGATGATGAATTTAGTTAATATTAAAACATTCTGTCCATAGGAGAGCTGCTTTCCTTTGGCTCTGGGTTCAGAAAGCATTAATTATGTCACATGATTTAGTTAACAAATATTTAAGTTCTCCTTTTTTTCAGAATGGCATTATTCAGTATTACCAATAATATTCTCCCCCTCACTTAAGAAAACAAGAAGCAGAAGTCCAGACCTAGGAAGCCACGGAGGACCAGAAATGAGGAAAATGAGCAGGAGGGGGACCTGGAAGGCCCTGTGATCGATGAGTCTGTGCTTTCAGCAAAGGAGCTACTTGGTTTACATCAGGCAGAGGAGCGACTGAGAAGAGATTGCATCGACAGGCTGAAAAGGGTAATGTTTTGTACATGTATTTATTAAAATTCTTTTTGAGTCTAAACCGTGTTAGAAATTGGAAATTCATGCTTTGATGAATTAGTTATCCTACCTTGGTTATTAGCATTTAAGTACTACTAGTTAAACGTGCTATGTAGTGTTACTTTCTTTTTTTTTTTTTAAGAGAGATTTTTGTCATAGGGCATGTGTGCTCGCTGGAGAGACAGAAAACAAGAAATCACGCCCCACAGGGGATGGCCACGCAGCAATTCCTTCTCCTCCATTCTCTCCAACCCTGCACACATGCACACACACACCCAGCATGAGTTTAAGCCACCGGGTTCAAGACTCAGTTGCACTCAACTATGTTGAAGTCCAGAGACAATCATTATGCCATCTGCTGGTCCCTGCACTGTGTTTTAGTAGAATGAAGAATATTGCTATTATGCTTAAATAAAAATTACTATTAGAATAGTAATAAAGGGAGTCAATAAAAACTTTTAAAGTAAAGGGGAAGTAATTTTCTGGCTAATTTTGCTTACCTGTGTATGTGTCTCTCTTTCTTTCTAAATTTCTCCAAATTATAGCGACCACGAAACTACCCTACAGCAAAGTATACCTGCAGACTTTGTGACGTTTTAATTGAATCCATTGCATTTGCTCATAAGCATATCAAAGAGAAGAGGCACAAGAAAAATATTAAGGTAAGTTTGCTATAACTGAAACAAATAGGTTCACCTGTCATTTATATTACTTGTCATCTTGTGGCCTTTTTCTCCTTAAGGCGATGATAGTAATAACTTTCCTACTTAATTTATTTTAGCCAAAATACATTATACTGTTCAGCTATTTTGCTAGGCAGTCTTGTGAACTTCCTCAAGGATAGGATCCATATGTACGAAGTCACTGGTAGGACTAGGTCTGTGTCCTTATGTCAGTAGTAAAGTACGTAATAGGTCTGTCATTGCTGAGCTTTCCTTACCCCTTCTCCTCATTCCTGCCTAACCTCTATCCGTTATCACCAATCCATTTTAATGTGCGTAAAGAACTATGTGCTTGATAGGATGACAACTAACACAGCTAAGATGAGAAGAAAGACTGAGAAAATAATCCTTGAAAATTCTCAGTGAATGGTAAAAACTCTGTGTGAGCTGTTTTGAATTTCAATATTGCTTTTTAAAGGAAAAGCAGGAGGAAGAGCTGCTCACTACGTTACCCCCACCAGCACCTTCCCAAATCAACGCAGTGGGCACAGCCATCGACAAAGTGGTACAAGAGTTTGGTTTACACAGTGAGAACTTGGAGCAGAGGCTAGAAATAAAACGTACCATGGAGAATGTGTTCCAACACAAGTTACCAGGTATTTTCTAGATTGGTTTCTCTATCCAGCTACCTTAAAGTTCCTCCTTCATTTTTTCTACCATTAGTAATTTTCACCTAATAAGAATGCATTTGCCATGTCCTAAAGCTCTTGTTTGTTTGTGTTTCATTTTCTCTGGCTTCCCCAAAGTAACAAAGACTTTTACATGCTATCTTTATAAACCTGCTTTTATTATAAATTTTATTGTAACTATTTGGGGTGTAATATAAGTTAGATGCCTTATATTAATGGGGTACTGTGAAACTCCTCTATATGTATTTGTTTGTATATGTATGTATTTATTTTTAGTTTGCAGTAGGACACACGCACTTGCTAGAGACAGAGAGAGAAATTGAGAGCACGCAACCCTGTAGAGGGAGTGGCCACACCACAGTCCCTTCTCCATTCTCCTCAGGAAATTGGGCACTCATAAACCTGGCATGTTTTTCAGACCACCCAGTCGGGGACTCAGACAGCCGTGTGGTATCCATCCGCCCTAACCAGCACACCTCTCACTGCCCCTTTGCATATATTTGTTTACCTGTCTATCTAAGTTGACCCAATATTTTGAGTTAAAATTAAAAATAAATCCTGGAGTCATTTTCAGATTAACAGAAAAAAATGAAGTTATTTAACCATATATAAAATAATTGCTGCATCAAAAAATGAGCTTTGAAAACTAGTTTATAAGTGTGTTTGACCCAGTGTATCTGGAGGTTCCACATCTGAATTCAACCAACTGTACATCAAAAATATTCGGAGGGAGGAGCCAGCAGGTGGCATGGTGGTTGTAGGTGCTGGACTCCCACATGGCTGACCGTGGTTTGAGTCCTGAACCTGGCAGCCTGCTTTATCACACTCTCTCTCTCTCTCTCTCTCTCTCACTCACTTTGTTCCTCTGTGGTCAAATTAAAATGAATAAATGAATAAAGTTAAATAAAATAATCTTTTAAAAAATATTTGGAGGGAAATAGTTTCACAAAGTTCTGAAAAACAAAACTTGAATTTCCTGCACACCAAGTGCTGTGCTAGTGTGTGTAGACATTGTATCAGATATTATGAGTATCTAGAGATGATTAAAAGTTACAGGAGAAGGCCAGCAGTTGCCATGGTGGTTATGGTGCTGTATCCAATGTGGTGAGTCGATCCAGCAGCTTCAAAAATGCACCGGGCGGCTGGCAGGTGGCATGGTGGTTACTGGCACTGGGCTATGGCCGACCATGGTTTGATACCCAGACCTGGTGGCTTGCTTTCTCACTTTCTCGCTCTCTCTTGCTCTGTCACTCTGGTCAAATTAAAATAAATAAATAAAGTTAAATAATTTTTTTTAAAAAATACACCAGGTGTGTATATGTGTGTACATGCCCAAAATCCTGAGAAGAGAACGGAGGAGAAGGGATTGCAGTGTGGCTGTCCCCGCAGGGGCTAAATGCTTTCTTTCCTTCTTTCTGTTTCTCTCCAAAAAGTTTGTGTGCCCTAAGGCATTCAGAAGAATGTGCATAGATTATATATGCAGATATTAAGCTGTTTTATAAAGGGACTTGAGCATCTGTGGGTTTTGATAATCTGTGAGTATGTGGCAGGGCAGTTATCCTGGAACCAATCTCCTGTGGACATCAAGAGGCAGCTGTGTTTTGTCATCAGTTTTGGGTACTATTGATTTGCTATTACACTGTATGTCTGTCTTTCTACATATTTTTAATTTTAGATCATTGGCATGGGATAGGGGGACAACTATTTGGGGTATGCTACTTATGGACATGTAAGGTGAGGTATGGCCAGTGCGAGATGTAGCTGCTGTCAGTCCTTGACAGCAATAAACCCTACCCTAGCCTCATCCCCATTATCATTCCTGTTTGAGTATTCCTGCTATTTGGAATAACCTAATCTTCTAAGTCCTTGCTGTGCG